TATTTCCGAAACAATAACGAATCGATTCGTTAATGGCGGACGCGACCGCGAAATACGCTAAAAAACCTCCAAAACCTTCTGAAGCTTCCCTCTCCCTCTGTTGTTGACTGTTGGTGTGATATTATAATTTTTTTTTCACTAATTAAACCATAAAACTGGCCCAGACATGCGGAAATAATAACGAAACGACCTCAAAACAATAACGAAACGAATACAATATCGAAATACGAAGCATTTACAAAACGTTTTTGAAAATTCATTTTTTAATAATTGCTCCAGAATGGTTCGTTATCGTTTTGTAATTGAAAAAATTAACGAATTATTAACGAATTACGAATTAACGAAACGAAACCGCCCAGCCCTAGAAGACGTTGCGAGAACTATGAGATGCTAGTTGTGGAAACAGAGTGTCGATTTCTTCTGTGACGGCTTCAGAAAACGTGTTCATTGTTGGCAGAAATGTATCCAATTGTCTGGAGATTATGTGGAAAAGTGAATAGTGGTAGTTAAAGAGCACATTCTAATGGTTATTTCTGCATTTGATTTATTAAAATATTCCCATCCAAACCCAAGTAACGATGGTGGAGGCATTACTTTTCATTCAACCCTTTTTCATGTGACCCTTCTCTTCTATACTATGGAGTTATAGCTGTTTCCACATCCTCCAACAGAATCCAGTAGATACTTACCCTTCTCTGTTAAATATCTCTAGTCCCCTCAAGTACAGAATGCAAACTCTCTAGCAGATAATGACAGGCGTCTTTCCCAACTACAAATCTCAAGGTTGAAACATCCCTCAAGGATCTCTCCACATTATCCTGAGATCTGTACTTTGGGGCAGCAACAGAACTCTTTGACAATGAAGGCTGAAAACAATTGAAAACCGCAACTCCCATGGTGCCATAGCAATGCATTCACTGACAGTGTTGAGACACTCTTAAGTTTGACATAAAGTTTTGAAAATTTCAGAGGTTGGAAAATATCCTTCCAGGGAGTACATCTCTGAGAATCTCACATCAAGCATGGCTAGTAGTAGCTATGTTGGCTGGGAGATTCTGAGAACTGTAGTCCAAAAATTCTGAGATTTTACATCCAACACAATCATGCTTCTATACCCTAATATTAATATATAACAATGCTCTTCTATACTCTCTGTAAGGAGCCCCTGGTGGTACAGGGGGCTAAAACACTGAGCTGCTGAACTTGCTGAAGGAAAGGTCGCAGGTTCAAATCCAAGGAAGTGGAGCAAACTCCTGCTGTTAGCCCCAGCTTCTGCCAACCTAGCAGATCAAAAACATGCAAATGTGAGTAAATTAATATGTACCACTCCGACAGGAAGGTAACGGTGAACTATGCAGTCGTGCTGGTCACATGACCTTGGCGATGTCTACAGACAATGGCAGCTCTTTGGCTTAGAAATTGAGATAAGCACCAAACCCCAGAGTCAGACACAACTGGACTTAATGTCAGGGGAAACCTTTACCTTAGCGTTTACCTATATTCTTTGTGATTGGGAAACCTAGCAATGCACAGTTCGTTGTCTGTGTGGGTGCAAGCTCTGTTGTGACCTGTAGGATGTTGAGGGAAAGTTGGCCAACAGGCACAACCCCCTCTCCCTTTTTCCTTGTGTATCTTTTATGTGTTTGTGCAGCCAAAGAGTCATTCTTGATCTCATGCATAGATCCAGAGAGGCACCAGTTTCCATCTTCTTCATGCAGTTATGTCTGCAAATGGCAAGACTTTGACCTTAGTAGAGAAAGCTGCCATGAGAGAGTCCAGGAGAGGATTTCATTTTGTATCTTATGTGCAAGATGCCCGGGTCTTGTGACAATTGTGGTCAGCATAGTATATTGTGTTTACATATGTCTTTCCCCTAGTTATTATACAGAGATTTCACGACATAAGCAATTATGTTAAAAGCCCTCTTTTTTTGCACAGGCCTCCTAATAGAATGTCTGGAAATGTTTAATTTCCAGATTGTATCAAAAATGCTCTCTCAAACAATGTGTATATCATTTGGATCTATTTATAGAGCTTCAGTGCCTTCTGAACATGTTCTCCATGAATGATTTTTGACCTTATGATTTGTTTTGCTTGGGTTGCTGAAAATTATAAACAAGTTTCTTCTCTTTTTAAAAAAAAATAATTTCTCTGTTAGTCTGAAAAGCCCCCCCCCCCCACCCCCGAGGGTTAATGTGTAAAAATGAAGACTGCTATCCAGATTGAACCCCTGAAAAATTGGGGAACCTAAAGCAGCATTTCTCAACCTGGGAGTCGGGACCCCTGGGGAAGTCACTAGGGGGTTTCAGAAGGGTCACTAAAGACCATCAGAAACCATATATTTCTGATGGTCTTAGGAACCTCTTTGGCAGAGAAGACTTAAGATCTCTCCACCTGTCCTTCTCTTCCTTTTTGGAAACAGATAGCAAATTCTCCCACCAAAAGCCCTCCTCTGCTGTGATTGGCTGGCCTCTCAGCCAAGGGGAGATTCCAAGCAGGGAGGGGAAAGCGGGCATGATGCGCATGTGTGGGCGAGGGAAAGTGTGTACGGCTGGAGGGAGACTAATGCCAGCGAGTCTCTTCAAGGTATGGGAGTTTTGTGTGGGAAGTTTGGCCCAATTCTATCATTGGTGGGGCTCAGAATTATTAATTAATTAATTAATTAATTAATTAATTAAACTTTATTTGTACCCCGCTAGCATCTCCCGAAGGACTTGGTGCGGCTTACAAAGGCCAAGGCCTCAACACACAATACAACAATACAAAACCTAAGGCAAATTAAAAACAATTAAAGCAATATAAACAACAAGCAATAAACAATACACTAAGACACAATAAAACTAGGCCGGGCCAGAGTAATGGGTACAGGATTAAAAGTGCTGATGTGACAGGTTGTATATAAGGCATTATAGGGCAAGTGCAGTGTGCAGCAATCTTAGTTCTAATAAAGTGCTTCTGGGACTTGGTATTGGAGATCTCCTAATCTGGGAAGGCACATCGGAACAGCCAGGTCTTCAAGTTCTTTCTAAAGACTGCCAGTGTAGGGGCCTGTCTAAGATCTTTGGGGAGGGTGTTCCAGAGTCGAGGGGCCACCACAGAAAAGGCCCTGTCTCGTGTCCCCACCAAACGCGCTTGCGACGCAGGCGGGATCACGAGCAGGGCCTCTCCAGATGACCGAAGTGAATGCGTGGGTTCGTAGACGGAGATGCGGTCACGCAGGTAGGATGGTCCCAAACCGTTCAGGGCTTTGTAGGTAAGCACCTGCACCTTAAATTGGGCTCGGAAAATAAACGGCAGCCAGTGGAGCTCCTTGAACAGGAGGGTTGATCTCTCTCTGTAAGGGGCTCCAGTTAACATCCTGGCTGCTGCTCATTGGACCAGTTGGAACTTCTGAGCCGTTTTCAAGGGCAGCCCCACGTAGAGCGCATTGCAGTAGTCCAATCTGGAGGTGACCAAGGCATGGACCACCCCGGCCAGATCAAATGTTGTTTGATTGTAGGTGAACTACAAATCCCAGCAACTACAATTCCCAAATGACAAAATCAATCTCCCCCAACCCCATCAGCATTCAAATTTGGGTGCTTTGAGCATTTGTACCAAATTTAGTCCAGCGAATGAAAATACATCCTACATATGACGATTCATAACAGTAGCGAAATTACAGTTATGAAGTAGCAATGAAAATAATGTAATGGTCAGGGGTCACAACATGAAGAACTGTATTAAAGGGTTATGGTATGACAAAGGTTGAGAAACCTTCCTAAAGTTACCAGATCTTGTCTAATCTTAGAAACTAAGCAGGGTCAGCACTGGTTAGTACTTTGATCCGAGACAGTCAATGAATGCCAGTTGCTGTAGGCTGTATTTTAGAAGAAGGAATGAGCAAAACCACCTCTGGGTATTCCTTGCCAAAAAAATTCTATTACATTCTTTCATGGGATCACTATCACTCAGGTATATACAAAGAGTACACCCAACTGGAGAGTCAATATTTTTCCCCTAAATGTTGCCTGCTCTGCCTCCCCACATATGCATTGCTCATCATCTTGAAGGTTGTTTGAGCATTCAAAAATAATGTTTGAGTGGATAATAACAGAACTGCTTTTAGGGAACAGCAACAACAACCAAAACTGAGTGCATGAAGCAAGTCATACAGTTGAATGGTGGCCAAGATAATCTATATACTATTTATTCTATTGCATTGAAACACACTGCTCAACCGGTTGTACAGTTTTATTATTAACTTGAGAGAGAATCACAGTACTATATTGATAGAAGTTTTTTTTACAGTGTTCATGCAATTACAAAATGAAAGATGCAAAATGCAAGAGTACCTTCCTCTCTGCATCTTTTGTATCTGCTGATTGACCTTTAACCAACCACCAGAATAGGAATCTACCACTAAAATTCAAAAGGTGGCCATTTAACCTTTGTTTGAAAATTCTCAGACAAAAGACAGTCTGCCAAGGAAAATCACAGTCCCATTACATTTTTTTTTTTGCTAATTACATCACAAGACGATTTGATTATGAAAATAAGCGAACTTGCGGAATTTGATAAACTTCCTATGTTGATTAAGGAGAGCTCTCTAACCAACTTTAAGAAAACCTGGAGTTCTTTCGTTGTGTTACTCCAGCAAAGTCTCAAGAGAATTATTATACTGGAACTGCATCCTCATCATGTTGTCTATGGAACCAGTTTGCTTTGGGAGAAGAAGAGACATGGTTGTTTTGTAATCCATTGTCTCAGAATTGCTAACTGAAGCTTGTTTGATGAAGAGAGAAAAAGCCCATTGTACCATCCAGAGGAGACTGCAGAGAGACAAAAGCAAAGTACTAAAACTGGGAAGCTTATCAGACAACAGGAAGGAAGCCCATACTCCAAAACTTTCCCACTTTAAGTAGCATACTTCTGAGTCAAATGAGGAACAGAGCTTTAGAGCAATTAAGTGAAAGAAATCAGGGGAGGAGAAAAAAAGCGAGTGTTTATATAAGCACAACCAAGCCAAATACAAGATGAATGTCATTTAAGTAAATGTTTTCATAGGAAATATAACCTTAGCTTCGAACACAAGTCATTTTTTTGCAGAGATCTTTGGAGTGAAGTGTTCCTGTGCTGCCAATTTTGCTCTCCCTGAGGACTACTGGTAATAAAATATGGGAACGGAGCCAGATCTGTTCTAGGCTTGAGACTGGGTTCAGGGGCATAGAACCATAGTGTCCTATCCTTGGCATCGCAAATGCTTGTCTTAGATCATGTGGCAAGCAGATTGAAGACTAGTAGAATTTATTTTGTTTTGCTTTTTTATTACCACCCATGGAACCAACATCCAAGGAATATCAAGGAAAAAGCCAGAATACTGTTGCTGGTTTAAGGACCACATAATATTGGTTGCAGGAATTGTCATGGATTGTGTCAAATCTGGCCTGTTGAGGGGTGTGCGGAGCCCATCGCCTCACACCCCACATTGCCTGACTTACTAGAAGCCCTATCACATGGCGGTAAGGATCCACCATCTGGTTTTCCCCCATTTTGCCAATGCAATACAGGAAGCCTCCTGTATTGCCGCCATGGTGGCATATGCCGGTTCTACTTTAGATCAGCCATGGAGCTCCACCAGAAGTAGATGTATGTTGTGGGGCTGCCTTTGAAGACTGTTTGGAAACTTCAACTAGTCCAACGGGTGGCAGCCAGACTGGTCACCAGAGCGCCATACAGGGAGCACACCACTCCTCTGCTATGTCAACTCCACTGGCTGCCGGTCCATTTCTGAGCACAATTCAAAGTGCTGGTCTTGGCCTATAAAGCCCTAAATGGCTCTGGCCCAGCTTACTTGTCTGAACTTATCTCCCTTTATGTTCCGCCTTGTAGCTGAAGATTCACCGGGAGGCCCTGCTCTCTGTCCCAACAGCCTCGCAAACATGTCTGGTGGGAATGAGGGACAACGCCTTCTCGGTGGTGACCCCCCGCTTCAGGAACTCACTCCTTGGCGAGATTAGATCAGCATCCTCCCTCCTTTCCTTTAGGAAAAAACTGAAATTGTGGTTCTGGAACCAGGCCTTTGGCTAGCTGGCACAACAGCACTTTGGACATTGTACTGGACCATATGATTGTTACAATAATGGAAACGGCTATAGGATTGTTTAACTAATGTTGCTGTTTTAATCTATTGTGTATTTATGGTTTTATACTGTTGTTATACTGTGTTTTGCGGCATCGAATTGCAACCCCGGGGGTTGAAAAGGGCAGGGTAGAAATGTTGTAAATAAATAAATAAATAAATTGTGGGATGGGAGCTGGCAGAATTGGTGGCTAAAAGCTGAACTGGCATATGCCACTGAAACAGCCCTATCTAATTTGATCATATCATAGAATCATAGAATCACAGAATCAAAGAGTTGGAAGAGACCTCATGGGCCATCCAGTCCAACCCCCTGCCAAGAAGCAGGAATATTGCATTCAAATCACCCCTGACAAATGGCCATCCAGCCTCTGCTTAAAAGCTTCCAAAGAAGGAGCCTCCACCACACTCCGGGGCAGAGAGTTCCACTGCTGAACGGCTCTCACAGTCAGGAAGTTCTTCCTCATGTTCAGATGGAATCTCCTTTCTTGTAGTTTGAAGCCATTGTTCCGCGTCCTAGTCTCCAAGGAAGCAGAAAACAAGCTTGCTCCCTCCTCCCTGTGGCTTCCTCTCACATATTTATACATGGCTATCATATCCCCTCTCAGCCTTCTCTTCTATGTTGTTGTAATTCCTTGTCAAGAAGGAATTGTCTATGTCTATGACCTCCTCTTACACCAGGAGGTCATACAATCACAGAGCTTGAAGGGGCATCATGGGCCATCAAGCTCAACTTCCTGTTCAATATAGGATCTCCAGCCAAAGCATCAGCATTAGGTAGCTGTCTAACCTCTTTTTGAAGACATCCAGAGGAGACTGTCCCACCTCTTGAGGTGGTTGGCTCCATTGTCAAACTGCTCTCACTGTCAAGATGTTCCTTTTAATGTTCCACTGAAGTCTACCTTCCTGTACTGTGAGCAGTAAAGAATAGACCATTTATGTGCATAGTTCAGCTCTTGTCCCATGCTAAACCTTCCCAATCTAGAAGGCAAAGTTTCTCTCAAAAACTTTCCCAGAGTGCTTCTAGACTATAGAATTAATGCCATGACTAAATGGTATGGAACCATTGGAATTGTACTTGTACAAGCTGTTCATCCTTCTCTGCCAAAGCATGCTGGTGACTCACCAAACTACAAATCCCAAGATTCCTTAGCATTGAGCCATGGCACTTAAAGTGGTGTCAAATGACATCAATTCTACAGTGTAGATGTATCCTAGGTCCATAAACCTGAGCTCCTATTTTCTGTAACATCCTCTCAGTCCACAAATAAGACTTCTCCAAACTTTTTTGGTCTGCAAACCAGTTTCTACTCATGCAAAGCCTTCATGGTCTGGACACCTGACATCCTGCAAGCCAAACTTTTCTAGTTTCCAAGTCAGAATTTCTCTCCAATCTTCCCAGTTTGTAAACCAGAGTTCATTTCCCTTCAAAGCTCTCCTAGATTTTAAATAGCCTCTTGTCTCTTACTGAAAGAAGAAGCAAGAGAAGCTTCCAGCTCCAAAAGTATTCAGTTTATCAGATTGTGTGTATCGTGCTCTTTTGCCAGTAAGTAGCACCACTAAGCTGAGATCTACAACAAAAAGGACAAGAAGATATCATTGTACTATATATTTTCTTTTTCTTGTGAGTGATTTTTTAATCTTGTGTTTTTTTAGAGACCCTGAGAGTTTTGCCTTTTAATACAGTTAACTTTTGACCTGTGTCAGCTGTCAGGTTAGAATGAGTTTAGTCACATCAGTCTGAACAGGCATTAAAACCAAGCTCTTAAAGGTGAAAGGGCAAAGCCTTAAAGGGATCACCTTAATTGTCTGGGCCTCTTAATCTCTCTCTGTTCATGTACATTAACCCAAATACTCCTAGTTCTTCTGCAACCTGTTTTCTTAGACTTGAAAGTCTTACCCTTTCACATAACAAAGCCCAGTGGTAGAAGGAACATGACCTCGGGTCTTTCTGAGAGGGGTCTTTAGGATCATGTTGAATGCTCTGCTTTATCTAACTCCTTTCCCAGTGGGTTTAAGAGATGGGAATTATCATCCTGATCCTTCTTAGCTTCAAATATGTCAGTGATATTTTACAGCACCAAACATTCCAGCTGCCATTTAAGGCTGTGGTGTGGAGTCTCGGTGACCTCAGTACTTGAAACAGGCAGGACTATAACAGGGTTTATGGCATGCTGCGTTTATTATCTGACAAGCCATTTTATCCAGAGTTAGGCTTTATCAAGCAAACTATGAGACTTTGTGGACACCCACCCCCATGAACTCCAGCCAGATTTACAGGACTGGAGTTCTTGTATCCAAAATGTTTTATACTTAAAACAGCTGTGTGAATTTGCATCATATTAGTCCTCAAGATGACTATCACCATGTACACTTACAGAAGCTCAGCCTCTCATTGAACATCGAGAAAACCAAAGTGCTCTTCCAGCATTCACCAGCCAATCCCTCTGCAATGCCAGGAATACAGCTTAATGGTGTAACATTGACCATTTCCACTACCTTGGTAGACACCTCTCCACAAAAGTGAACACTGACATTGAATTCAACACCGCCTGAGCTCTGTGAGTGCAGCATTTTTCCGAATGAAACAGAGAGTGTTTTGAGGACCAGGACATCTGTAGGAAGACCAAGGTGCTTGTTTATAAAGCTATTGTCTTCCCAACCCTGCTATATGTCTGCAAAATGTAGACTCTGTACAGACATCACACTCAACTTCTGAAATGATTCCATCAGTGCTGCCTCCAAATAAATCCTGCAAAACTCTTGGGAAGACAGGTGGACAAATGTCAGAATGCTGGAAGAAGCAAAGATCACCAGCATTAAAGTGATACTTTTACGCCATCAACTCCACTGGGCCATGTTGTCCAAATGCCCTATCACCATCTCCCAAAGCAGTTGCTATACTCCCAACTCAAGAACGGGAAACGTAACGTTGCTGGACAGGAAAAGAGATTTAAAGATGGGCTTAAAGCCAACCTTAAAAAGAACTGAGAAGCCCTGGCCCTTGAGCACTCTACCTGGAGGTCAGGTATGACCAGCAGTGCTTAGAACAGCAACTCAAGCTAGCAGACAATTGCATAGTAAGAAATGACCCACAGCTGGTTTCGTGACTTCCTTTTATACCCCAGTGGAAGGTGTAAGAAGGTGGATGGAAGAGAGAGCTCTAAAAGAGGGAAGAGCAAGAGAGCAGCGACTCGACTACTTTCAGGTGGTTTTTAAAATAATATTTTTTAAACTATTAATTAATTAACTATTAACTATTAATTAATTTAACTATTAATTAAGTTAAAGGTTTCCCCTTCACATTAAGTGTAGTACGTCCAAGTCAGGGTGTTGGTGTTCATCTTCATTTCTAAGCCGAAGACACCTCCAAGGTCATGTGGCTGGCATGACTGCATGGAGCACTGTTACCTTCCCGAAGTGGTACCTATTGATCTCCTAAAATTTGCATGTTTTTGAACTGCTAGATTGGCAGAAGCAGGGCCTAACAGTGGGAGCTCATCCTGCTCCCCAGATTTGAACCGCCAGCAAGTTCAGCAGCTCAGCAGTTTAACCCGCTGTGCCACCAGGGGGTTTCTAAAGATAATTGCATAGGGTAAAAAACAAATGAAACTACATAATTAAATTCATAATTGTGTTTAAATTTCACCAAAGAAGTGAACTCTAATGTTTGTTTCCCATAGATTTATTTTGTTGTTTATTCATTCATTTCATTCCATCTCTTCGTGACCTCATGGACCAGCCCACCCCAGAGCCCCCTGTTGGCCGTGGCCACCCCCAGCTCCTTCAAGGTCAAGCCAGTCACTTCAAGGATACCATCCATCTATCTTGTCCTTGGTTGGCCCCTCTTCCTTTTTCCTTCCATTTTTCCCAGCAACATTCTCTGTCTTCTCATTCTCTGTCCTGTCTTCTCATTATGTGGCCAAAGTACTTCATCTTTGCCTCTAATCTCCTTCCGTCCAGTGAGCAACCGGGCATTATTTCCTGGAGTATGGACTGGTTGGATCTTCTTGCGGTCCAAGGCACTCTCAGAATTTTCCTCCAACACCACAGTTCAAAAACATCTATCTTCCTTCGCTCAGCCTTCCCTATGGTCCAGCTCTCACATCCATAGGTGTCTATGGGGAATACCATTGCTTTTACTATGCGGATCTTTGTTGCCGGTGTGATGTCTCTACCCTTCACTATTTTATCGAGATTGGTCATTGCTCTCTTCCCAAGAAGTAAACATCTTCTGATTTCCTGGCTGCATAGTCTCATAGACTTAGCATGGGGATTTAGTTAACCAGTTAAAAATCATGAGTAAACCAGGTTTTTGGGGATAGCTCTCGTGGTGCAGTATTCTGGAAGAAACAATAAAAATGATCCCCCCCACCCCACCCCAGCCTCTGCATTAAACATGCTTTCCAACCTTTCACAGATGAAAACTGAGATACGTGTGTTCAAGCAATATCAAAGTATGGTGAAGTTGGTGAAAGTTATTAATAAAGAAGAACAAACAAAATAAGAGAGGCTAAAGCAACTTGTTACTGGGAAGGGAACCTACTGGGAAGGGAAGACCCTATTCCCTTCTCTTCCTTACCTAGTTAATCGAACATAAACTATTTTTGCATTTTGAATCTAGGGTCCTTCCATACAGCCATATTTCTCAGAATATCTGCTTTGAACTGGGTTATCTGAGTCCACACTGTCATATATTCCAGTTCCAAGCAGATGATGTGGGATTTTATTCAGCTGTGTGGAAGGGACCTCTGTTTGCTGCAACCGCAGTATGCTGAAAAGAAAGGGAGGAACTGAGATAAGAAGA